GCGAGAGGTGTTCGCCTGTAGCGGCTCACAACAAATTGGAAAATCAGCTCAAGGAAAGCTCAAAGAGTAAGGAAACCAATTGTTTTTGTTAACGTCACTAACAATACCTTTTTGAGTCTATTTTGGGAGGAGAATGTTGTAAATTAGCTTTGAAGTAGCGTATGATCATACAAGGTACTACATAGCCCCTATTCCCGTTAGATAAGCCCTTCACATATATATTCATCAAACTAGATAGTTGTTCGTTTCTTAATTAGAATGATTTTATCTGACATCCTTACAATTCTCTAGATTAGTTCGATTCTTCAACTTCATTGAATAATTTACATTAATTTGTTTTTAAGAAAATTTCCAAAACAGTTTGTGTCATTTTATTTCATTCATTTTTTTATTTAGATATAGTAAACAGTTTAACTTGTAGCATTTGAATTTGCTACAAGATAATATTAGCTAATTATTTTGATGAAACTTATCAAATCACATTAGAGTAGCACTGTGGTGTGCTAAGATTTGTTTTTATTTTTCTTTGGTGTAATAAACATAGTCTTCAAATTCTTACCTTATGAATTTGAGAAGAAACCATACTCACAGTGAACATTCAGTCTGACATATAGTAAATAATCCTTGAGTAGTAGAACATTTAATGAAACAACCATATCATATCACACACAGTTTTGAATGAGATCTTTTAACAAACAAATTCCAATTGTAGAGTACTCATTTCTTCTGATATTCTATGTGCTAATAGGAGGTGATGATGTAAGCTGCAGGAGTCTTTGATTTCTGGCGTTCTGATCCTAAGGCCCTAGAATCGAAGGAAATATTTAATATTGTAATCCATTCAAAAGTAGACAGACAACTTACCGTTGATGTTCTCCAGGGCGATAAATCCTATTTCGCTGGAATATCTCAGGATTTATGATGTTGTTCATTCTGAATTGGTTTCAATTTGGATAAATTCTTTGTTTATTTTTGGGATAATATTTCAGGTTATATTTTCATGTGTCATCAGGATGTCACTGTCACTGTTGTCATACTGCAGTCATTGTGGACTGTCATTTGTCTTCTGTGAAGGATTTGGAGATTATTCCTATGAAGACAGAAGAAGAAGAACAATTCTTCTTAATAATTAGGGCGTAAGCATTTCTTCGACCAATAGGATTCTTGGATTTCATATTTGGCGCTGATTTGGGATTTTAACAGGAAACTAGGGTTTTTGACTAGTTAAATCGAGGGTAGGAGAATTTCCGGCACGTACCTACCTCACTTTTTCTCGGTTAGCCATGGTGGCGTGCACTTGACCTGTGAAAAGTAATTTTGATATTCTCGGTGAAAACCGTAGAAACCCTTAGGGGTATTTGATTTTGGAAGCCGTTGCTCACCGGTTAGTGGATGGAATCTCCGTCAGGAAGCCAATTGTGGAATTTGTTCCTGGAGACTGCCATGAAGTTTTAGAAGCCATGCAGCCCGGCCTGTTTCAGTCCTTAAAAAGCAAGATCTAAAAAATTCTTCAATCCTACCTCCCTTCTCAGAAGGTAAGTCACAGCCATAGCAGATTCAGCAGTGAAATCTTCGAAAATATATCCTGTTCTTCAGTTTTTTTCTGTTGTCTCCACGTGCTCTGTGTGCCCTCTCAGGAGGCTATATTCAGATTATTTCTTAGGGTGCTAGGGTGCAGCTTAGCTGTGCTTCGGACTCCTGGTAGCGACCGGCCCTCAGGATACTCTACTCTACCCTTGTCAAGATCCCCCAGTGGATCTGAGTAATCCTGCAAGGTCTTCGGATCTTGGCCAGAGTCGACCATGGAGACACTAGATGGAGCCCAGTAGCAGCTGGTAGAGACTGACCCCTGGTTACACTGCATCCTGGAACTCTGCTGACCGTGGAGGTTCAGCATTCCTCGTTGTGTTGTCTTCACCTGCAGTGACCTATGCTGCACATCTACATACATACCACTTGGGACCTTGGATAGGGGTGATCTGGACCATTGCAGAGGACCCTTGGACCACTATCAGGTTTTTTTGTTCCACCTTCAGTGTTTCACATTTTGCTACATATATTATAAATATGAATTTCACATCTGAGACTGGTTGAGTAATCACCTTTTTTTACAGTATTAATTCACAAACTGGTGAAGCTCTTGTGAAGCTCTCCCATAGTATATTATGTGACTGCGGTTGCTTAACAGTTCATTGCGCTATCATTCCTTGACTAGTTATACAGTCCGTTTTATAGTTGATATAGGATTGTTACTATACTTATTTTCACTTATTCTAAAAATATGGTAATTGTCCTGGTATAGGTAGGAAAATTATGATAGAATCACCATGCAATTTACTTGACCTGCACTATTGAAATAATACAGTACTTTAGTGATTATTTTTCATCATGAAACTGCAGGCCTCTACATAGGTCCATATATAACCTTGTCTCTGGTGGTGTGAAATATAATAGGTCTTGAATTTTATGTTGGTTTTCATTCTTCCATATGTCCAGCCCAGCCTTCTAAGAAAATATACCTTGAACAACTTTCAGATTTTTGAAAAACAGATTATTTGGAAAGAAATTTGGTTTTCTCAATTATCCAAATTGTAGGATTTTTATAAATTGAGTGGCGTCCAAGAACTTGAATTTTCTTCACCATCTAGCCTATAATTCGAACCCACTTATCTGTTCTCCGATGTACAGCTGCCGATAGCAAATGTGTTTGACTTTTTAATACCTTCATCCTTTTATATTAAAAGTTGGTCACAAACTCAAAAACAGTTTCTTTAACTTCCATTGTGGAATCTTCAATATACCCTTATCTCATGCTAAAGACCTACCCTCTGGCGTATGCCGAACTTAGGCCCCATTTCGGCATCAGGTCGCCGCCTACAGCATTTCAAGAAATAAAACACACTTAGGGAAATGTTACATTGGTGATAGCGGTGGGATGTAATTCTTCAGAAGGGGTTGAAGAGGGTGGAAAAAAAAAGGGGGGTTGGAAAAAAAAAATGTGTTTCCTGTTTTTGTCGTTCTGTTAGTTTAAATATACTAACTAGGTGATATATTGGGTAAATAAGGGTATATGACCACTAATGGCAAGAAAGTTTTACTAGTATAACAGTAAATTGTTATAGATTGGATAGGTGTAGGTCTAAATAGGGTTTTCAGGAACTTTGAAGGACGTATCCTGGATGATATTCAACGGAGTACGGATTTCAGTAGGTATATTTTATTTTGAGGTAGCCAAAAAAGTGTATGATAACTCAAAATTAGTACTAGGAAATCAAATAAGTTGAAAGTTGGAATAGTTCATTTTTTTGGTATTTGATTCTGATAGGTTGAATCAATTGAAGTGTATGGATGAGTGAGCGAAAGAATTTCTCTTCTTTATTCTGTGTTGTTCCGGAAAGTTGATAAAATAGCGAAGAGAAGGAGTCCGCGCTTCAAGAAGGAATTGACAGACAGAGGGTAGTTTGTCGCTGTTATTTATATTGTCATATAGGTTCTGATGCGGGTTCCAGGGATGATCAAGAAAGGATACACAAATAAGGACTTGTCTTGGATTACTACCCCATTTGTTGTTTGTTTCTGGAAATATTCAATTTCCTTGTTGGGAGCAATTTGATTATTTTTGTTTTTGTGTGTATATATGTATGTGGATTGTCTGACTCTTACAGGGTGAAGCTATCAGAAAAAAAAATCTATTGTCTTACTGTAGTTAACATAATAATAATAATAATAATAATAATAATAGTCAGTTGCATATTAGAACATTGTCAATTCTATTACAGCAAATACATTCCGCTGCTACTAGCAGACTTTTGGATTGCAAGTTTTGTTTTTATAGTGACAGATATTGGAGATTGATTAATTTTTTTTGAATGGTGATTGAAATTGTTGAATGATCGAATGGCTACCTCAAAATCAGGATAGGGTTTTCAGGTTGACGAGAAGAAGAAGCCAAATATTTTGCGGTAGGTGAAAGTTGCTTTTTTGCTTAGAAATAGTTGAAGCATATCTTCTCCTCCCCCTACTAACAACACTTGCATAAACACTCCTGGTGGTGGAGCGCCTAACATGATACCAGCACCACCTGTATTGAGAGTACCGGCCATGTATTCATTAGGGATGGTGGCAACTACCCTAGATAATTTCTCTGGGAAAGATGCGGCGAGATATTTTGAAAAATTAGAATTGCGTGCAAAATTAGATGGTTGGTCGGAGGATGAAACTCTCCAGTTATTCAAATTTAAGCTTATAGGTGAGGCATACAACTACTTCAAATCGAATACAGGGTTGGACTTGGCGAGTTATCTAGGTTTTTGCAGAAATTCACTCCGTTTAGGTTACCTGGAGAGAGTCAATGGAATTTGAGCAGGTGTTTTCAGAGACATGATGAGGATGTGTCGTCATTTTGTACTAGGTTGAGAATTTTAGGTGCCAATTCATTACGGGAGGATTTAGGAGGGGCTACCGTGGATGAAGAGACAGGAATAAGGAAGAAAAATAGGGAATTGCTTTTGAATCAATTCAAGGTGGGGCTGCGTAAGGACCTGATGAAAGAGACGGGTATTCTATTGTTGCGTGAGCCTAATCTAGATCTAGAAAAGGCTGAGGAGCTGGTGAAGCTGCAAGAGACGACTTTCATGATGATACAAAGAAGGAGTGCGAGCATGAGGATTTCTATGGTCGATAATGAAGGTCTTTGTCATTCCTGTGGAAAATCTGGGCATTTCGCTAGAGAGTGTAGGAGTTCCAGAGGAACTAGGGGTTCACTTAATCTCAAGATGGGGAGGGGATGTTACTCGTGTGGGCAAGCAGGACATTTTGCAAGAGAATGTCGGAGAGTGCCACCAGGAAGTCAACATGATTGTTTTTTGTGTCATCAGAGGGGGCATTGGGCAAAGGATTGTCCAAGAAATGATAGGAATAGAGGGCGATTAGGTTTTCGAGAGGTCAATAGGGAGTCTCGAGGTAGTACTGAGACTCAACAACAAGATCGCAATCCAGTAATGAGGGGAGCTGTTGGAAACAGGGGTCATAATTCACAACCTGAGACTCAGAGGGAAGTGAATCAGTCAACAGGTGCTATACCAAAGCAGAGACAACAATCTTCCTCTTTTTCAGGTTCACGCCGAGACGATCAAGGTATTGATAATTTAAACTGTTGAGGCCGAAGCCCTACTGCCAGGATGGAGGCCAGAGGCAAATGAAGAGGCAGAACAATTTTGATAAATATAACGATGCAGTAGGGAAAGTGCGTGTTATGCTAGTTCCTGAGGTAGCCTCAAGAAATATAAAAGACATTCCCCACATCATTCGAGTGCGAGTGAATGGAGTTTTGGGTTATTGTTTAGTTGATATAGGGGCAGCGGTGACACTCATTCAAAGTAAAATGGTTCCTAGGAATCAAATAAACTCTATGGGAGCGAATAAATATCAACTAACTAGCGTTACTGGTCATTACTTACGCACTTGGGGTACTGCTGATATTTTAATAAAACCTGTAGAGAGTAATCAAGGTACGACATGGACTGCTTTTGTATGCGAGGATGAAATATTGGGAACAGTTCAGGTACTATTAGGAAGAGATTTTCTGTACGCTAATCAAGCATTAATAAACTATCAGCAAGTACCATCTATTACTATTTGGGGAAGGTGCATTCCCTTCATATATGAGGAAGAAATTGATGTATATATGTATAACCGATGTCATGAAATAGGACAAATAGGTAATAAAGAGACTGAACCAAAGGAATTGAAGTCGAATTCAGAAGAAGTTTCGTACCACATAGACCAAAAAGGGAGAATATCCCGAAGCGAGTTGATTATCGGAAAGAAGTCAAAAAATCTCAGGAACTCGAAGATTCTGAGGAATCTGAAGAATGGATAGAATGGCTCGAAATCGTGGAAGATTTTTATAAAGGTCGAGTTACTAAAGAGCCTTCAGAAAATTATATAAACGTAGAAAATATTGAAGAAAATGGAAATATATCCGTAAATCAACTAGTATTTATGAAGGAAATTGGGGAAAACACGAACGATACTTCGCAGACAGAAAAAACGACGAAATCAAAGTGCGAAGACATTAGTACCCAAACCGAATTTGACAATCGAATAGACGTATTAGAGCATGAAGCAATAGAAGTAATGACGGCGTTGAATAATATGGAGGATATAAAACAGGAAAATGCCGTTTGTTCGGTTATTTCTACGATTAAAAACCAAATCACTGAGGAAACCATAGTGGAAATTCCTCGACATACTTGGGAAACAGACATAATGTTAGGAAATGATGTCACTATTCCAGCTCGCACAGAAGCGATGGTGTACGCAAAACTTAAGGTCAACTTGAAAGGAAACCTAATAGTATGCGAGCCAATAGAATTAGGGAATGGATATGTTCATACAGCTAGCTGCTTGTTAGAAAATTCCTCGAAAATTTGGGTACGAGTTCTCAATGTATCCTGTAAGGAAATCAGACTTGTGAAAAACCAGAAACTTGCGAAGGCTATTACTTGCGATATAGAAGAGGGAAGAGACGAGAAAACTGAGTATATGATTGGACAATTGAACAGAACAAATATCGAAGGAAACTTAGGAGGATTCAATCTTGAACACCTCGATGAAAAAACACAGGAAAAACTTGGAGGAATACTTTGAAATTATCAGGACTTGTTCATGGAAGAAGAGGATAACTTGACAAGTACTACAAAGGTGAAACATAGTATAACCTTAGAGCCCGGAGCACAACCTATATGTAAAGCACCCTATAGAATTCCGTATCAACAGCGAGAAGTTCTACAAAAAGAAAATCGATAGATTGATGAACGCAGGTGTCATCCGTTCATCATCTAGCCCGTGGTCAGCTCCAGTTGTACTTGTCACAAAAAAACTACCTGATGGAGAGGATAAGGTGAGAATGTGCATCGATTATCGAGCATTGAATACTGTGACTAAAAAGGAATATTATCCCCTGCCTAATATTTCGGATTTAATTCAAGGTTACAGATCAGGAAGTGAAGCATTGTTTTCGGTTATCGATGTTGCAGAAGCGTACCATCAGATAGATATGGAAGATAAGGATATCCCATTAACCGGCTTCAGCACGTTTCAAGGCCACTACGAGTATACTAAAATGCCATTTGGCTTAGTCAATGCACCGTCAACATTCCAGCGATTTATGAACATCACATTAGCCGGGCTCACAGGAGAACTTTGCATGGTTTATCTAGATGATATTATTATTTTCAATTCCGAGGGAAAAGAGGAGCATATTGAGAGGTCAGAAAAAGTTTTCGCGAGGTTGAGGGAAGCAAATGTCAAATCAAAGGCTAAAAAGTGTAGCTTCTTACTCAAGAAAGTAAAATATTTAGGGCATCTGATAACACAAGATGGAGTGCTTCCAGATCCTGATAAAATCGATTCAATACATAAATTTCCTATACCGAAAACCATTCGAGGTGTACGATCGTTCCTGGGATTGGTAAACTGGTATCGAAGATTTATACCGAATGCATCTGAACTTATTACACCACTGACGAATTTGACTCGAAAAGAAACGAAATTCGAAATTACATCTGAAGTACTTGACTCGATAGAAAAGTTGAAGGAAACTTTGAGATCGGATATAATTTTGATTTTTCCTGATTTCAAACAACTATTTATACTAGCTGCAGACGCGTCTGGGTTGGGAGTGGGAGCTGTACTCAGTCAAATCAGAAACGGATATGAACGTCCTGTGGCATGATAATAATAATAATAATAATAATAATAATGTATTTATTCCTTGAATTAATCATACAAAAAATGATATAGGAATCGTCAAAAAAAAGTTGTATAAAATTATTATAAAGAGAATATACAAACACATAAAAGTTAAAATATTGACATAAAGATAAAATGGGTCTAACATTCAAAACATCCAAAAACTATGATTGAAGGTAAACATTTGAAATACAATCACATTAAAAATAAAAATACAAATACAAAAATACAGATACAATCACCTCACTTCAGATTTTTGTCTCCAAAAATTCCTTCACAGAATAAAAACTTCTTTCCAGCAGATAATCCTTTACTTTTTTTTTTTGAATTTCACGAGAGATGATATTTCCTTAATATCTGAGGGCAGGGAATTGAAGAACCGCGGACCAGTTGTGATATGCTAGCCGAAATTTCAAAAAGGCAGAATTAAATTATTCTACTACAGAAAAGGAACTCTTGGGAGTGGTGTTTGGAATTCAGACTTTTAGGTGTTATTTATATGGAAAGAAATTTACTGTGATCTCTGATCACCGGCCATTGAAATGGTTATTGTCATTGAAGGATCCAGGGTCGCGACTGACGAGGTGGGCTCTGACACTGGCGGACTATGATTTTTGAGGTGATTAATAGAAGAGGAAAATTACACGCGAACGCTGACGCGCTTAGTCGCATGTTTTGTAAAGAAGATCACTACATTGATTTGGAATATGAAGATTATTTAGAGTATCAGAAGATTCATCAGATACCTCGAATGAAAAATTTGAAGATGAAACAGGGAGACCTATTTTCAGCGCCAGAGGAGTGGGCACTAGCACATTGTGTGTCACAGGACTTAGCTATGGGTAAAGGTATAGCATTGCAATTCCGAAATATATATGGTAGTGTAGGAAAATTGAGACAACAACAAAAAAATGTTGGAGAAGTTGCGGAATTGAATTTACCCGAAAGAAATATTTATTATTTGGTTACTAAAAGTAAATATAATGAAAAACCTTCATATAGATTATGGAATGCCCTACGTAGCCTCAGAAACTGTTCTGATAGAAACAAGGACCAAGTGATAAGTATGCCGAAAATTGGATGTGGACTAGATGGGCTTGTATGGGAAAAAGTGCGAGAGATGATAGAGTTTATATTTCATAATTCTAACATAGAAATATGTGTTTACGAAGGAACTCTGACAATTGCAGCAGTACATATGCAAGAGAACAGGGAGTTATTGATAGAACCGGAATGGGATCGTTCAGTACTAAAGAGAGCCCAGAATGAGGACTACTTTTGTCAAACATAACAGGAACAAATTGAGGGAAATGAAGATGAACTACTAGGAGCAAAGTATTATTTGTCCAAGGATGGAATAATTTATCGCACAGATGCAGACGGAGATAAATTGATCATTCCTAAAGTTTTTGTAACTAAAGTGATGGAGGACTTCCACGATTCACCTATGGCTGGGCATCAGGATCAATAAAAGACGTTAGCCAGCTTGAAACAAAGATTTTTCTGGCCGAATATGCGAACTGATGTCATTAATTACTGCACAAGTTGCGACGCATGTAATCGAAGAAAAACTTCTCCCCACCAGAAAAAAGCTCCATTACAAAGATTCACTTCTACTACAGAACCGTGGGAATTAACGTCGATGGATATTGTAGGACCTCTAATAACTTCGCTCAATGGAAATCGTTATCTACTCACATTTCAAGGCTACTTCACAAAATATGCTGAGGCAATCCCACTACCTGATCAGAAAGCTGATACTATAGCCCGAGCCTTCGTAGAACAGATTATTATTCGACATGGGTGTCCCAAGAAACTGTTAACGGACCAGGGAGCTAACTTCACTTCAAGTTTATTCAAGTATGTCAGGTATTGAGAATAAAGAAGATACAAACTGCAAGCTATGCTCCCACTTCTAGTGGACAGATTGAAAGAATGCACAGGGTGCTGAAAGATATGTTGTCCCATTATATCAGTGACAATCAGAGAGATTGGGATAACTGGATACCTTTTGTACTGATGGCATATAGGGGGAGTAAACATAGTTCTACGGGATATAGCCCATACTTTTTACTGCACGGAAGAAATCAAGTGCTTCCAATAGATGATTTCATAAGATCGGGGAGAACGAGGTATCATTATGATGAGAATTATGCCTCCGAACTATTGGAAAGATTGAGGAGAGTATACACAGAGGTATTCCAGAATACTGAAAGAAATAGGACCATCAGGGTGGACCAGTATAATAAAAAAACGTCACAGCACCACTTCGAAATAGGAGATAAAGTATATTTGAAAGATATGGGAGCGAAACTAGGATTATCAAAGAAATTGGTGAAGAGTTGGATTGGACCTTATCGCATTATAGAGATCGTTGGTCCTGTAATTTGTAGAATAAGGAAATGTGGAGGGAAAGAAGAACAAGTGGTGCATGTGAATAGGCTGAAAGCGTATATCTCGCGAACACTAAAGGATCCAACTGGCAGAAACGAGTCCCAAGTACATAAAAGTCAGAAAATAGATGATGAATCGGACTCAGACGAAGAGACAGCAAGAGTTGCAAGATTTCATCCACTCATGGTCCCACAGTGGGTGAACCTTGACCCTGAAATGAACAGGGAGAATGAAATGATGAGCGAAGATGATGAATCTAACGACGGACAAACCGAAAGTGAATCTGAAGAAGAGGGGTTGCTGGAAGAACCAATGCCAATGTTGAGAAGGTCACAGAGAAATAGACGACCACCTGACCGGTTGACATATTAACATCAAGATTGGTAACGAAGTAATATACTTCGTTGTTTCTATTCTTTTTTTTTTCTCAGCTCATAATGCAAATTTGGGATTCTTCAGATTGTGATTCCACTTTGTTTTCATAATTCATCAAATTGAGAGTGATGTTCATTTTCGAACTACGTTGTCAAGCACGAGGTGGCCGCTTATATTTTGTCTGTAAGCGAGCACATCGTGATACATAGGTTATAAGTACGACATATATTAATTGATTACTTTCAATTTAGTTGATGTTGTTGACGTTTGTTGATTTTGTTGAATTTGTTGTAGTATTAATTTTTCATTTCACACTTAGGGCGTAACCCACGGACTATCATCACTGAAGCCATGAAGCTGAACAGTCATCGGGCCATCATCTTGGAAATATCCTTCTTACTGTTATTCCGGTTCATGACCCAGGTGAAAGGGACTATCGCTTACGATTGTGAGGACAAAAATATTGAAACCACCGTTGTTTCAATCCGCGAGGTCGCGAAGTGTCCAGAATTAGAATCCGCGTATAAAAGTGAATCGAGCAGAGTCAAGATTCTGCAAAGGGACGAAATAAACCTTCAACAGGTGTGGACTTATTTAATCGATGTTACGCGAATTATAACTCACTGTGGCATGCATAGCCATAGTTCTATTGTGGCCGAACGATATCCAATTTTATATACCGTATAGGTGCTGAAGAATGTCGAACGCTCCATCGCTACAAATTGTTGAAGATATACCAACAGGACATTGGAAGCATTACTATGAATGGGAACACAACTGCGACCCTGACTATAGGAGGTTCAGTAGATTTGGATGGATCTTGTCAGGGATCAACATACCATGAAAATGGACAGACTTGGAAGAATGTGGTTATCATTGCTACAATAAAAATTCAGGTGACTGATTACCTAGCCAGGGTCAAGATGGACGAGAATGAACTGGTTCTATCAGGAGGAGTTATCTGCCCATTCTTGAAAGGATACTGCTTCGACACAACCCTGGGAGAAATCACGTGGGACGTCAACCCTTTACGAACCTGTGAGGAGAAATTCAGCTTACTTTATAATGGACAGGCGGAGAAAGTTGTCAATCAACTAACTACGGAACAAATAATTGTAGTGGAGGACAGCAGCAAAGTATTCGCGGTAACTCTAGTGAAGAAGATAAATATCTGCCAGATGGAAATATGGCAGACTGAGCATCCCAGAATACTGGTTATTGAAGGAAAGCAGCAGGATCTATTCAATCCGAAGATTAACATTTCACCTCATAATGCAGATATAATGGTGTACGTGAATAGTAAATTCTTGTACGTAGAACAAGCGTACATGCGAAAATTGAACCAGTTATATACTGATACTGAGCACCGGTGATGTCTCTTACAAAGAGAGATATTGCAAAATCGCCTTCTGATGGCGCCACTGGTACCCAACCCCCTTAGTCAGCTGGTAAAGGAAAGAGGAGGCTATGTAGGACGTGTACTTGGGGAAGTACTGTATATTATGAAGTGCGTCCCCCGAACCGTAACAATTCGACGAACCGAAAAATGTTACCATGAACTTCCCAATTTAGTAAATAATCTGACCAAATTCATGGCTCCAGTAACAAGAATTATTCAATCCTATGCAGAAGAGGTGGATTGTACTGCATTAACACCACCGTTGTATTTGATAGATGATCAATGGATAGGATTATCTCCCTACCCTACGGTTAAAAAGGCACCAGAAGAGCTTTCACCAGAATCACATTTAACGCTGAGCTTTGCCCCTATCCAGCCAATTGGCACCCTTGGAATATATACTCAGGAGGAAATAACCAATGCCCAGAGGATTTTGACTTTCGGAAACGAAAGAAAAGCTGTGAAAAACATCATAGCTCGTAGGGTAGCGGGATTGGAGACAACCGGGCAAGGTTTCTCTACTTTGAACATTTTCAACCCGGAAGAGATGAAGGAGTTGGCACATAATACTATGCAGCAGATCTGGGGATGGTTCACAGATCTTGGATTATTCATGAGTGGACTCATGGGATTTTATGCAATATTAAAAATGTTGAAATATGCAATAGGAGTGGTTTTAAATGGTTTCCACATTTACCAGACCATGGGCTGTGGAGTTGTTATATTGGCTAGTCTATGGAATACACTTACTATGTGGGTGACTCGTAGCTATCCCTCTAATCTAACCACAGCAGCAACCAACGCGGAAGGAACAAATTTGGAGCGGTTGGAGGAGGTGAGGAACCCATCAATTTATCCTTGCGTCCCAACATCACCCCATTGGACAGAACAACAAAGCAGCCGCGAAACGAGAGAAATGTAAAGAACGAAGTTACCGGGTAACCAAGTTCCTATTACCCGTGCGCGTTCAAAAGAACTGAGTAGAAAAAAACAAGTTATTTTTCTAGACAATGTCGCAAGATAGGATTCATAAGTGTGCGGCGACATAAATATTAGTTAGGTGTGTAGCAGAAGTTCTGGGAATCTCGGATGTGAAGGTTATTTCCTCATCAAGAGGCCCCCAACATTCAACGGCAGCAGTTTTAGGGAAGTAGATTAGTGCCGAAAGAAGGGACGCGAAAAGTTTGTTCGAAACGAGAAAAGTGCGCGAAAGAATAATTGTACTGGGGTAGTTGTAAGATTAGCTTTAGTTTAACATTGGGAACACAAGATGTTCATAAACGAAATTCAATTGTTCGTTTAAGAAGACATTGTATGGTAGTCTTTGTTGTCGACAAGAGATAGCATTTTGATGTTGGTTAGGAGTTAAGAATTCAACTTTTTTGCTTTAGATATAAGCTGAAATATATGTAGAGACTCTGTTTGTCTCCTTGAAGTGATGAAAAATTGTTAGGGATTTCTATGTAGTCATAGGTATGTGGAAAAGTGATGGCATGGTGTGGCCAAAACTTTTTCATTGTGGGAAGTATTGTAGCACCCTGTATGTGAATTGCTTCGCATGGGAATTAGTCTCTTGAAACTCGATCATTTTCTTATACAGACGACTTGGTGATGGGATTGTTCCGAACAATGGCACCTTATCATATCCATACATGTTATTGTGGCTCGGATCAAGTCGCAAAGAGCGCCGAACTCCTGAGCAAGATTTAGTACCGTGAGATCGAAAATATAAAAGAATAATTATCAGTTAATTTTTCATCATGAGGTGCTGATGCTGAGAAATGATGGGAATAAGATAAAGTTGTAGGTTTTCTCAGGCAGGCTGTCTTTCTGAAACATAAGCAAATTTCATAGCGGCCATAATCATAATGGGCGGCACCTAAGAGGAAAATTTTATCTTGGACAAATGGGAATGAAGATCGCGACTAAAATTGAAGACGAAGACCACCGGATTGGCGAGCATAGAATGGGAATGGGATTTTTTTTGTTTTGGTGGAGACTGAAGAGGGAATGGGATTTTGCGGGACGAGCGAAGAAGAGTCAGCGACAGGTCGCGTTCGAAGAAGGATTCGGGCGAAGAAATCGTGAGGGTAGGCTCGCGACAGGTGGCAGATATTCGGGGAAACTTTAGGTCACGGTCGTACGAGGGAGGACTAGCGAGTCCTAGAGAATTTGTTGTCAGTTTGGGAGGATAAATAGAGTATTCAGAAACGCGCAGTGACCGAATCTTAATATTTTTGTGAACTTTGTAAATACGGGAGTTCGATATGGTGGTTTAAGTGAGAACTTTGAGAATCTTATTGTTCACCCTGAGAGGCGAGAGGTGTTCGCCTGCAGCGGCTCACAACAAATTGGAAAAATCAGCTCACGGAAAGCTCAAAGAGTAAGGAAACCAATTGTTTTTGTTAACGTCACTAACAATACCTTTTTGAGTCTATTTTGGGAGGAGAATGTCGTAAATTATTGAAGTAGCGTATGATCATACAAGGTACTACATAGCCCCTATTCCCGTTAAATAAGCCCTTCACATATATATTCATCAAACTAGATAGTTGTTCGTTTCTTTATTAGAATGATTTTATCTGACATCCTTACAATTCTCTAGATTAGTTCGATTCTTCAACTTCATTGAATAATTTACATTAATTTGTTTTTAAGAAAATTTACAAAACAGTTTGTGTCATTTTATTTCATTCATTTTTTTTTTAGATTCAATAAACAGCTCAACTTGAAAACAGTTTCTTTTACTTCCATTGTGGAATCTTCAATATACCCTTATCTCATGCTAAAGACCTACCCTCTGGCGCAGGCCGAACTTAGGCCCCATTTCGGCATCAGGCCGTCGCCTACAGCATTTCAAGAAATAAAACACACTTAGGGAAATGTTACATTGGTGACAGCGGTGGGATGTAATTTTTCAGAAGGGGTTTTCAAATGAGTTACCCTTAATATCTGAAAAACTGTTGATTTGGCAACATTGCCGATATCACCATTGAATCGGGCATCATCAACAACCATCCTGTCGAAGTTCTCATTAATTTTCCTTGAGCCGTTTCTGAAATATGGGACCGTTTCAGAACTTTTTAACGAAAATGCTATGTTGTCATATTTCGAAAATCACGTTAATTACGAATCCGATATTCAGGGACTCAAGTAATTAGAAGGCGCTCAATTAATTGCAATAAAAATAAATGGGGTATTCCATTCGAAAAAATAAAGTTACTCCTAATATCTGAAAAACTGTAAACTTGGCAACATTGCCGATGCCACTATTGAATCGGACATCATCAATAATCACCATGTCGAAAATTTCGTGGATTTTTCTCAAGCCGTTTCATGAAATAATATAATTTTATTTGATTATATTATTGAAAATATAATATTTTTTACTTTTACTTGCATGTACCTTACAAAACTGTTTTAAATGATATTCCCTCCAAAAACAACTTTATTATTGATGACAAGTGTCAATGTCTTATAACGTCTCACGTCAGTGCTCACGTAACTCACCGCTTTCACCACTTTCTTTCCTATGGTTGCCTGGTGACAGATAAGTGACAGTTTTTTTTCATGAACATCATTCCGTGTATATGTACCGTATATCATCTTGGTTAACCTGGAAAGTGAAATTACGTTCCATAAGTAGTGAGTTAAAGCCAATACAAAAACTTGCAATCACGTATGGACGTAAACGTGAATAGAAATACGTACGTATTCAATGACAAGTAGCGTTAAAGCTACCGTATGGTACGTACATGTTTCACGTACATACAAGATACACGACCATACTCATTTTAACCATATTTTTCTTTTCCATTCGATTATTTTGATTTTTTAGTCTTCGCTTGCTTAGATATTGTTCCAGTGTTGTTGCTGCAAACCCTTGGTTGCAAAATGGAAGAGTTTTTGATATTCGAAGCTACAAATGATAGCGATGCTAGTAGTGTCGATGACCTAGATGATATGTTCATCCTTCATGTACTGAATGAGAACGACAATTTAGGTAATCGAAGGGAAATATATAGGGATATCAATTTCAACAATTTATTTGAAATAGAATGTAAAAATCTATTTCGATTTGCGAAAAATGACATTCCAAGATTAGCTAGAGCCCTGGGAATACGAGGAAGCTATAAGTTTTTCAGTAATTTACATCAGGTTCCAACGGCACGTGTCTTTGTAGGGATTATGGCCTACAACTTTCCTTGCTAGATGCGAATCATCTTCCAAAGAAAAGAGAATTCTTTTATTGGCATTGTCCATGATTCCTTCGAAGCACAACACAAGAACAAAGCGCAATAAAAAATAAATGTGATTTTATGTGATAAAAGTGAGGTTAAAGTAAAAACCGAATAGTTATCGTTTGTATTCGCTTAGATAGGTAACGCCTTCCGTTCAATACGATTTGCGTTTAGCGCCAACGTAGCAACACGTAAACATACGTCAGACGTATCTCCTGGCATCCTTCTCCTGGCGTAGGAAATTCGCATACTGCGCATGCTCAGATGTCAAATTCTACGTTTACGCTTACGCATTCTGAATTGCTTTAACTCCCTAATGTCAAATTCACTCAACCAGTAAGTTTACGGAACACTCATGCTGAAATATGGTTGCTGAAATCTGTCACCAGAACGACCGCCGTTTTATATGGGTTATTCTGGGGCGCGTTCCAATACTCCAACTCAGTTAGTGGATAAGTGAAAAATTTGGCATATCCTGTCAATTGTTATTTTGATTCTTTCGGAACGGATTGGTGATATTTGTATTAAAGGCACGAAAATTTGAAATTCCATTAACAATTTTAATTTTACATTTAAACAATGAAAGGAATTGAGGGGAAAATTCTTGCCATTACTGGAGTAATGAAACAATTCTTAGATGTTATTTTTTCGGATAGTGAGTCAGATTCTGACGACAGTGACGACGAGCTTATGGACCAGTTGATACCTTTGAAAGCAAGAGTTGGCAGGGTGTGTGAAGTCCAACACAGAATAAGGAATTATGCTGAAATTACTGTGCCTATGTTCAATGACAATCAATTTCAAATGCATTTTCGTTTGACTAAACAAGCGTTCAACCATCTCTTGCATCGTATTGCACCTACAGTGTCTAATTTGTCTGATAAGGGAGGGAGGCCCACAGTGAACCCTAAAACACAGTTGTTCGCTGTTATTTGGTTACTGGCAAATCCTGAATCATACAGGTAGTGTGGTGTTGTATTGATGAAGGACTGAAAATAATGATTGTTTATGTTTATATTTAGGTCTGTTGGTGATAGATTCAATATGGGTAAATCAACTCTATCACATTGTTTTATTCGCATTATTGATAAAGTGAGTGATATGGCATCAGATATTATAAGGAACTCATAAAGGTAAAATATTCCAGCTAGTGTGTATGCACTGACATGTTTTAGGTGGCCAGCAGCCCCTAGAATGAATATTATTAGAAGAGGATTTTATAGACTGGCCAAGATTCCCAATGTACTGGGAGCAATTGATGGAACTTATGTTAAGATCAAGGCCCCTCAAGAGTTTCCAGAAAATTATATCAATAGAAAATGTTTCCACGGAATAACTCTTCAAGCAATATGTGATCATGAACTCATATTCACAAATTGCTTTGCTGGTTGTCCAAGTGCTACCAGTGATATGAGAATATTTAGAAACTCTGACATATATCATAAGTTTCTGAATAATAAGATGGATTTCTTTCCTAATAGAGAATATATATTAGGAGATAAAGCTTATCCCATTACAGACTGGTGTATTCCCCCATATATTGAAAAAAGAGAGTTGGCAGATTTTGAGGTGCATTTCAATACCCATCATGCAAAAACTCGTCAATGTATTGAAAGAGCATTTGCACTTTATTTTGGACGCTCTAGGAGGCTCAGAGATTTGAATATGAATCGAACTGATTGGATACCAAAAACTATTTTAGCTTGCTGTGTGTTACATAATATGTTTAATTTAATATATTCCTTCAAAATGATACTGATTCTTCAGGTACTTGAATTTATTTTCACATTGAAGTGCATTATGATTTTTTATTATGGATGATATTCTCATCCATACCTTACTGTTCCTCATAGTGGAGCTTGCAAAAAATGGTTCATGATTTTTGTACTCTCTGTGATGAGCGCAAGAGTCTCTTCTTTTGTCCAGGCACGACGTTCATTGTCCTGCGAACAGGGGATGGTTTCAGAAACATCTGAATGAGATAGTGGTAACAAATCATGTCCGAATATTTCTCTGGCATCATCTATTGCCACAGAAAATAAATCACCATCTGCTGTTAAGAAAAAAACTATCAACCCCATTTGCCCCCTTCACATACACTGTATAAACAAACCTGCATTCTGTACTAAAACAGATTGATCATTTTCTCCCCTCACAACATTTCTTTCCTCATCAACTAATAAATAATGGGTTTCAGTTGTGATAATCATGAAGATATGAATTGATATAGATTTATCACTGTGAAGAAAATAAGAAAATTATCACACGTCAATTTCTTAACCTAACAATTCATGTGCATTACAGTTCAATGCGTATGCAGTTGAAATATTTCCACTTCTTCACGGTCTCTCGAGTTCGTGAAAAATTTGTTCATCGGATTAAATTAACTAGAGTATGGAAACGACTTTCACGAGGTAATAAGTGGGAATCAACCAAGTTTATGAACGGTTAGGGTAAAAAGTTGGAGTATTGGAACGCGCCCCTGGTTGAAGAAGACATTCTTGGCAGGTGACAGTTTTCTTTCAATGAAAAATGAGTAGTAATTTTTTTCTTCTCAAGAAGATGAAGGTGAATTACTGTGGAATCAATTGAAAAAATTTCGCTATGGAAAACAATGAGGTATTGTTAATGATGCAATTGTACTATTTGTTATAATTATTATGATTTTCATTTTTCCAGGATATGTTTTCGTGTGGCCATTGCCAGTTTGCACTAGGATCCTTGGTGGAAATCATAGCAAATAGGCTTGCCGAAAAACACTATTGTTTTTATGGATCCTCCAACGTTAATTTGGATCACCCTAGCCATCAAATGTTTAAGGGAGCCCAGAAACAGCAAATGCCAGCACCACCCTTGCCATTAGGACATTCTACCCAACAGAATGTTTGGAAAGAAGATAAGGTTCTACTCTTAATTTGTACGTACAAAAACCACACAAGAAAAATTTAATAGTGGTAATATTAACAAAAAGAATGTTTGGGTCATTATTAGTAATGAAATGAAAACACATGGGGTGAATATTGTGAAATGTGATGAGAAGTGTAAGAACTTGAGAAAGGTATATGACAAAGTGAAAATGGAGAATGAGAAGACAGGAAATGGAAATACAAATTGGAAGTATTTTAAAGACTTCCAGGATATTTATCATAAGGATCCCCGATTTACTCCAGTTTGTACTGCTTCAAGTAGTGGAATGATAAAAAGACCCAGCACTAGCAGAGAAAATATGCTTTTGGGTGTATGATAAATTGACATTCATCATACAGACAAAAATATGTATATGCACACATCATTATCGTGTGTGTTCAATAGATATAATTCAATGTTCGTCGTTACGATCATGAAGCAAATAAAAAGTACTGTACTATTATGACGAGATTGAAAACAAATCATGGATGTTTTCCATATCATCTGAATAAAATAGGGGTGATAGATTCTTCCTTATGTAACATAGATAATGAAATTGCGGATCTAAATCATATAATTTTTAGCTGCAGAAAATTTCCTAGAAATGATCTCTTTGAAGATCTTGTGAAGGTCGGGGCTCAGCTACCGACAACAGTAAACGTATTGCTTACTACAGGGGACAAAAACATTTTTGACATATTGGTCAAATTCATAACAAAAAACAATATTGAAATATAAACGAAAAATTTAAATTGTGTGTGGCTGAAGGACTAATGTCCATGGCCATTAAGGTAGGAAAAAAAAAATGTTCGTCGTGGCATATAGCCAGGAAAGTAGTTGTTTTCTATTGAATCAACTGAGAAAGAGTAAATATTCTCATCACATAGAGAATGCGAATTCTCAATGTATTGCTTTATATAAATATATATCCATTTTTGTATGTTCATAATTTATCTGAGAATATTCCTTTTCAACTCTTTCATACCCAATCAGGGGGTTCAAACTTGAACGATGGAAACTTGTGATTTTTATAGACCTCTAATCGCAGATTCGTGATAGAGTCTCAATTCAGAATTTCTTTCCACGCCCTGTATGATGAATGTCAATTTATCATACACCCAAAAGCAAAAACGTCCAAATGACAGGAATTGAATGTCAACAAATTTCTCAGATGTCATTTCGTTATAGTTTTACTCGGTTTTAGTTGTATTATAGAGAGATGAAAATTGTGTATATCATGAAGAATGGCTGTAAGAATAAGTGGACATCATGGTTACTGATGAGGATTCAGAAATCCGAAATGGTTTCATTGCAATAAAGTCATATAACCTGTGTGTCAGAGATAATATTTCCCATATCACTGATATGAATGATCATTTTTGGAAGTTTTCAAACTCATCAAGATCAGAGTTTATGCCAGTATACTTCTCCTATACATTCCAATTTTCATTTCAATGCTGAATATATTGGTAAGTTATATTTCTATATCATTATACATCATATTATTCATCCGATTCGAAGAAGAATGTCAATTCTCAATTTCGGAGGATTTTATTCTTTATTTTTCATGTTCTCCTTTTGAATGTTCATCAGATATAATTCAATGTTCGACGAGGCAAATAGCCAGGAAAGTAGTTGTTTTCTGTTGAATATTCAGAATGATGTGTGCATATACATATTTTTTTCTGAAGGAGAATGCAAATTCTCAATTTCAGAAGTTTTTATATTTTATTTTCAAACTCTTATCGTGTGTGTTCAATAGATATAATTCAATGTTCGTCGTGGCATATAGCCAGGAAAGTAGTTGTTTTCTATTGAATCAACTGAGAAAGAGTAAATATTCTCATCACATAGAGAATGCGAATTCTCAATGTATTGCTTTATATAAATATATATCCATTTTTGTATGTTCATAATTTATCTGAGAATATTCCTTTTCAAAAGAAAATATGCTAGTGAAAAAAATACCAAAGTCTGTATCTCTCAAGGATTTGCTGGGATCCAGAAGAGGCATGAAGAAAAAATGGATTACAAAAACAAAGTTTAGTGATGAAAAAAAAAATTAATAAACTTTTTTGCTATCATTTGAAAATATCCAGCCATATTTTTGTCTGGTGAATACCAATTATCTCTCCCAAGATATTCAGCTATGTTTGCCATTATGTGATATAGAATGAGACTTTTGTTATGAAGAATGAAGTATTCTTGAGGAGATTGTTTATTTTCAGTAGTTTTTCATATAATGGTAGTTTTTTACAAAGAATTTTGGAATTTTGTTTTATGAGATGATTTTTAACTAGTTAAATAAATATTAGTTCCCTATCAGTTCTGTACTCCTTACTTGTAAATACTTGTATATGGGAATGAGAGGAATATTGAACAAATTTTTGATTGACATTTATTTCCAATAATTATATAACATAAATAATGATTAGGGATTATTTATTTCTTGGCATAATCCATTTCTCTTGACTCTTCCCGAAATTATTTTATGCCTATAAAGCTCAGCATATTGTACTGCATCTTCCTCTACATCAAGAATTTCATCAAATTCTTCCATGTGTATCATGTCATTTTGCATAATACAAATATTATGCAATACACAATTAGCTAAAATATATTTTGGAATCCATATGATCTTTCTCACAGAGACAATCTTTCAGGCTCCTCAATCTTTTTTGCAATAATCCAAATTCCCTCTCTATTGTTACCCTTGTCCTGGACAAAAGAAAATTGGAATTTTTTTGTGCATCACTGAGGTGCCCATTATTTTCATGAGGAGTGATCAGTTCTGGAAGACAAGGATAAGCCGTGTCTCCTAGAAGATGAGTGTCATTTGGAAATTTCATAGCATTGTTTTCATTCATGAAAGTCCATATTTCGCTTCTCCTTAATACAGTGCTCTCATGATTTCCCCCAACCTCACCTGCATAGCAATGGGTGAATTCAAGGGTATGGTCTCAGATACATTGAAAGGAAATATTTGTGATGAGGTTATAGTAGTAGAAAATATAAAATATTTACCTGTAATATTCACAGAAGGAGTATTTTTCGCGAGGCACTAGCTAGAATTTGCTCACAATTCGGCATGCCAAAACCGAATTGCTTCTATATGGAATTTTTTCCGTATAAGGCATTTCTGTTGGTGTATTTCAGTTCGGAATGTTGAAACCAACTGAACTCGGAGTAACACAATTTCTGTATTGAGTTTTATTCTTCAAAATGAACATTTTTTTTACATATCCAGTATACTTATTTGTTGTAGAAAAAATAAATAAGAGTACCAATTATTTCAAAATAAAACTGAGAGATTTTCATTGTTTGATAATACTAATAATATTTTCCAAGAGGTGCCTAACTATAGCCAAATCAGAATCGAGTAGTCAACTAGTAGGAGGTGTATGTACATTCAGAATCAATAAATTCATAAATTACGATGAAAATTATTGGCAATCAATGACAATGCATGTCATGCCAATTTCATGAGTATGGAAATTTTGATTCAAGAGCGACGCAATTTTAGGAAATGAAAAATTAACAATCAACTAGTTACTGAATAATTAAAAAATATACCGACTGTATATAGCTAAATAGTATATTGCACTTAGCAGTACCAAGTCCTATTGAATGACAACTAGAAGTCATAATTAAATTCGGAGATAAAACATATGCAAGTGTAAAAAATATTGGAGAATTTTGTCTCTCTCCAAATATTGAACATATCGCGAATATGGAAATGACACACCCACCCACACTACCACCTAACTATTCCTGTATGCGTACCTATACTTTTTGTCAATATAGTTTGTTTTATGTATATGTATTAGTAGTAATACAAAGCAGATTGATCGCCAGAGCCGCAATAAAATGCCGCTAGTTAGCGTTGGCGCTGGTGTCGCTGGTGTTGCGAAGTTCAAATTTGCAGATGGCGGCGGCGCTGATGGCGGTAAATTTGAAATTGTGAGGTTATGTCATCATCATGATGAATTTTTAAATAAATAAATAAATTAAAAAAAGCTGTTTTGACCGCGCCGGTGGGGGGAAATTGAACCAGGGACCTTTGCATTATGAGGCAGCGTATATACGCACTGTGGTATTCCGACCTCCGTGATATTTCAATTATTTAAATGCTATTCAAACGGGATATCCATTGCTGGCGCGCGCGCGCGCTTATCTTTGCAACGGATCCATCGAGGTAGAGTGAAGCGAGAGATGCATTCCAGAGATAAGAAACTTCGAGTCGAAAATAATATCCATCGCAGGCGCGCGCGCGCTTATCTTTGCAACGGATCTATCGAGGTACAGTGAAGCGAGAGATGCATTCCAGAGATAAGAAACTTCGAGTCGAAAATAATATCCATCGCTGGCGCGCGCGCGCTTATCTTTGCAACGGATCTATCGAGGTAGAGAGTAAGGCGGCTCGAGCGCGCGGTGCTGCAACGTTGTCGGACGTATGTGTTTGGATGTTAATATTGTTACATTATTGTGTGTGGCAACGCTGTCTCGC